TTTTTTTAACCTTTTTTTTTTCTTCCCCCTTCCCTCAACGTTCAAATTTCATTACTTTCATCAAACAGAAGGCCAGGGACCTTATCACATAACTCCCGGGGCCAAGTCCCACTAGCAGCGTTGAGCTACCTCAACGCCTGAATCTGGACGTGTTTGTGGAGAGGTGCAGTTCGGGAAACTCTATACCATTTCTGCACATCTCCGCAAAAACGTCCAGATTCAGGCGTTGAGGTAGCTCAACGCTGCTAGTGGGACTTGGCCCCCGAAGACGAAGTACTGGAAGCATCACACAGCTTAGCTTAACACTTAACAGGCTGATGACCCGAGTTTTCCAGCCTCCGCCAGCAAAGTCTGAGTAGAGAGTGAACAAAGAAGTAGGAGTGAATCGGCCACCACAAGTCGTCTCGATGCATCCGGTACTATTTATAGTAATGGATGCATCTGGGCACACTTGGTGGGAACATGCGGTCATATTCTTTATCGTTTCTACGGTGGTGTGGCGAGGCCCTTAAGTCTCATAACTCCGGTCTTTGTCGAAATCACAGACCTTGGCGTCTTTTAAATGACACGGCTAAAAACAAAAACAAAAAAAACAAGATTAAAAATAATGATAATAAGTAAATAAGTAAATAACACGGCTGATTAATTTCGTGTTTTTCTTCTTTTTTTTTCCCCCATCCAGCTCATGTATCCTATCCTATACTTTCCTTTCCTTTCTTTGTCCTTGGGCTAGGTCTCATTTACACGAATTAAGCGATATTGACCGTCGATAGCAAAGATCAACGCCCAGATTCTCGTAATCCGTGCAAGTGGGACCTTGCGCCTTGTGTTGCTTGTCGTGATAGCTCTGATCTCCCTCTGGGTTGGTTGTCCCCAAGATGGCCTGTGGTTTCGGCCTCTACGTTTTTTTTTTTTTTTTTTTTTCGGCCTCTACGTTTTCTGCACGGTGCCTTTTATGATCTGGCTACCGTCTTCCCCCAAACATAACGCATGTGCGTTGTAAAGAATAGAACGCATAGGATACTTTGTATATGAATACAACGCACACGTGTTCTATTCGAACAGGCCGTTATTTTCGAAATACAGCGCATATGCGTTATATTCGGATCATCGATTTTTTTTTCCCGGAAAACTTGAATACAACGCATATGCGTTATGTTCGGAGAAGACGGCACAAGTGTGCCCTGTCTGAACCGAGACCTGGGGCTAGGTCCCACTAGCAAAGAGGATTGAATTGAACACCTGAATCTGGACTTGTTTGTGGAAAGGTGCAGACTGTCGAGATTGAACTGCTTTTCTGCATCTCTGCTTAAAACACGTCCAGATTCAGGATATTTATCCAATCCTCTTTGCTAGTGGGACCTCGGCCCTGACGGCTGTCTGGAATACTTTGTGTATTTAGACCGAGTAATCGTTCCGGTCCTCTTACGTCCTCGATGTATACAGACTGTTCTTCCGTCCCCGTACACTCAAAATTAGGGTGCCTTTCGTATATACTCTGCTAATATTTGAGGCATCTTTCGGTCCAGATACAGCCAGAATGACCGTACGTTGTATTCGGGGGAAGAAAGTGATCTGGAGAAAGTTGTCCCCACAACTGTTCTTCTGAGCCCTTGGAAGAAAATATCTACGAAACACTATATTTGGTGGGGACCACCATTCCTCTGAGCGCTAAGAAACAAGAAAAATAAATAAAATAATATAATGCTTACGGTTATTTCTCATGGTACGAGCAAAAAAAATTCGAAAACTATAATAAAATTCGAAAAAAATACTGATATCTTAAAT